CTCCCTCCTCTTCCTGCATATTATCGGAAACATTCTCCTATTAACTGAATTACGAATAAAATAATCCGAAGCTTGAAAAAAATCTCTTAAACTAGAGTTTCACTCAGTTTTAATTTGAAGAATTGAACGAGAAATGAAAAATGTAGCTACATATAAAATCCTTTTTCACTTCACGTCTTTTCATGCTACAAAATCAGCGCGCAAACGCTACGTTCACGTGACAAAGAAAAAAGACAAAAGTTATTATGCATAAAATGCACCCGACCTTCTTCTAGAAAGATTAGCGAATTCCAGAATTCATCACCGCGAAGGAAAGTCTAATCTATCATCGTAAAAACTTGAATTATTTCAGAGCTAGTAACTCTGAGGGGAAACATTTCTCGCTTTAATAGCGCTAAGAATGATGAAGTATTGCAATCATCGGGAAATAATGCGATCAATTGACATTTCTTTCGATATACATATATAAAAGCTGGTCAATGAATTTACATTATAATAAAATGCTTGGAAATAAAATTCAACGTTATTGTTATTGACTCGTCAATAACGATATACGTCGTAGTAGTTTAATAATATATATTATACATATATTACATGCTTGAGGAGAATCAAGTATTAAACGCATCATGATGTTATTACAATAATGTAGCAATTGATGCAAATATTTCGCGGATGAAACTATAATCGGCGTATATCAGTCACAAGTGAGTGAGATGGCTATTTTCCGACAGGCATTTATCACATCTCTCGATAAATAATTTAACAAATTCCAGATTCCCATATAGGATACCATCTTTTATTGTCGTAGTTAATTAATCAGTGCATGTCGCATCTTCATTATGACTCGGACATATTGATATCGCATTAATCGCAAGTCATAAATACAATATGCAGTGACTACTGATGATGGCTGGACTATATCTATCGTTTATGATCACCGATAATTGATGTCCTATCCCAAAGATTGAAGCTTACGCAATTACGTAGGGAAAACGTGCAGTGGCTTTCAAAAATGATCAATTTAAAGAATGTCAACCTGAAAAAGAATCCTTTCAATAACGAGCAAAGGATCACGATCCGCATAACAAGTAATTGAAAATAATATGTTAAAAAATGATGAAACGTAAAGAGAGAAAAAAATTTCTGAACATATTTAATGAGATAACTCCGGTATATGCTGTACTTATTAAAAACTTCAGTTATCAAGTATTATTTACTATGTTTATATAAATAAACTGCACCATAAAAACTTTGTACTATCTATTATATTATAAAAAATAAAAATACAAAATATATATTTTTCAAACATATTAAGAATTTTAACCACGACCGTATATGTGAATATCGTATTTAATATATTTTTCATATATATAAAATAATTTGAATACTTGCATTTTTGGCGTAAGCCTTTTATTAGGTGTTAAACTTAATTCCTGCCGTTTTTCGTCTCCAAAATTGATTTGTTTCGAAGGGAAGGTGAGTGAATACCTTAATCAAAGTAATATCCTCCATTTTCTACTTTATTACTAATTAATAATACTTTGATTAAGGTATTTCCCTTCGAAACAAATCAATTTTGTAGACGAAAAACGGCAGGAATTAAGTTTAACACCTAATACACTCCCTGCAATAATTATTTTACCCTATTAGAGAAATTTCTCTTATTTCTTTCTTGCGCTTACAGTGGAATATGTTGCTTAAGACGAGTATAATTTCTCGCAAGAAAAATACGGCAATCTAAAATTTCAAAACGTAGCAAATTGACCAGGTCGAAACGAATCAAATTAACGTCAGCTATCACATAGCGCACCGACATAGAAGGCAACGACATACATCTTGAGACTCGACGGAATCACGAATGCTACCGGTGCGCCAAAGTAAACTACATCACGTCCGACTGCGATTGCGCTCTTGCCTTCTTACGACCCAGTCCACGGTACTGTTTCAAGAACAACGGGAGCTATCGCGAATTATCCGACCGTTCAGCTCATTCCGTTCGTTTACGCGATCTGCAATCAGGGTGTATCGGATTGCTCTCGCAACGAAGAGCACAAAAACGAACTCTCCTCGCAAAATTTACATTTACCAATGTCCTGCCCCCTCCTCCTAATACGAATATGATCCGTATGCATATAATCTGACATAAATCATATGTCGCTCAGATTACTAATGTAAAAACTGTGGCATATCTTTCTGAACAAATGCATGGAATCGAAAACACGATGGCGAAAATATTACGACTATTATTATAAAGCAGGGTTGATTTTTCAAGCATTACGAAAACTGGATAAAACTCGCCTGGCGAACGGAAACCGCGTTCCGGTTTTCATTCTTTACTATTATGATAGAAATATCCAGCGTGCTCGTTTTATATCAAATATCAAACTTGATCCTTGTATTGTGAGAGACGTATCCAGGATATTGCGCTGCTATTTATTTTCCCAGAGATAAAGAGTAAATTGTTTTCTAATATCGCACTAGTTGTACAAACGATACTTGGACCGTCTTTTGCCGGATGATATATGTAAATATCGTCTTGCCGCGATGAGATTTATTCATAGGCGAGCCGCGTTCGGAAGCTCTGCGGCCGGCAGCATCGTGTCGCATCGCATTGGTACAACCACTCGCCGCGAAATTGTTCTAACGAACTTACACTCACGCGAAAGTTATGTGCCACCCTACACGCACGTTCCACAAAGAGGGGTTGCGCCGACCGCGCTCGTTTGGAGTTTGGCGGCAAAATCCGGCTTCGACTTCCTCCCCC